CTGTTTCGCACCCCTACGCTGCAGCTCCATGCATTACCCTTCAGTTTGGGCAGCTACACTATAGTTCAGGGTTTAGGGTTTACCCAGGACTCAAGATCATGGTTCCTTACCCGAAACCCTAAACGCTAAACCCTAAACCCTAAACCCGAACCCTAAACCCTAAGCCTTAAACCCTAAGCCCTAAACGCTAAACCCTAAACCCTAAACCCTAAATCCTAAACCCTAAACCCTAGCCCTAAACCCTAAACCTCCTAAACCCTTGAGCCAGGCCTCCTACATCTGCACTGAGTGCGAGGATGCCCTTTGCTCTCGGTGCTCGGCGCAGATCCACAGCGCCCTGGCTTGGTTTGGGGTTTAGGGTGTAGGGTTTCGGGTTTAGGGTTTAGGGTTCAGGGCCTAGGGTTTAGGGTTTAGGGTTGTGTAGTTTTGGGTTTCTTCTCTTGCGGAGAAGGAACATCACTACGCCCCAGCCCGCTGTGTGCGTTTCACAAATGAGGGCCCCAAGTTTTACCCTCGGATCAGTATCCAAGATGGGTGCAGAGGCTGGGAGCAGAAGAGCTCATCAACCGTCATCGTAGGAATATCATGGATATCTATCTGTGGTAGTTGCAATAGTAGCAATCATGGTGACCACTTTCGGCAGTTGCGCAAGCTGCGAACTTCGCGAAGACTCCTCAAACCTTATAATATGCAAAACTTCCCTGAAACCCGATACCCCAAACCCTGACCTCTAAAGTTGTACCAACTAGTTTACACCCGAAACCCTCCTGAACCCCCTCCCCCCTTAAACCCTAAACCCTACACCCTAAACCCTAAACCCGAAACCCTAAACCCGCAGATGCTGAGCAGCGATAGCAACAGAGACGATGGCAGGAGTGGGGGCCCGCCAGAACCACACACTCTTTGGGCTCCGCAAGGCCCGGGGTTTAGGGTTTAGGGTTTAGGGTTTAGGGTTTAGGGTTTAGGGTTTAGGGTTTAGGGTTTAGGGTTTAGGGTTTAGGGTTTAGGGTTTAGGGTGAAATGGAGTTTTGTTGAGTTGACGCCTTAAACATACTACTTACGGCAGCACTGCTCAATCCCTCATCCCACCAAGTCCGCCCCCTCAGTGCCCTCAGCCCTGGAGGGGGGGGGGGGGTCGGATGACGCCCGGTGATGCTTCGGGATTACATGAGGGTTCAGGGTTTAGGGTTTAGGGTTTAGGGTTTAGGGTTTAGGGTTTAGGGTTTAGGGTTAGGCTTTAGGGATGAGGGTTTAAGGGAGCTGCCGATGCTTTGGATGTGGGTTTTTTTTTGACCGGCTCATCCCAGGTTATGGGTCTCAGGGCTCTGGACTCCTGCAGCTTCAGGGAGTTCCTATACCCCTAAACCCTAAACCCTAAACCCTAAACCGTAAACCGTAAACCCTAAACCCTAAACCCTAAACCCTAAACCCTAAACCCTAAACCCTAAACCCTAAACCCTAAACCCTAAACCCTAAACCCTAAACCCTAAACCCTAAACCCTAACCGCCAAGCCCATCCATCAAGGGTGGACGCCTGCCAGGCTGCGTACAGCAAGCGGCTCTTTGCCGATAATTTGGATCGCCACCTGGCTTCCATCGTGAGGAGTTCACATAGACAAGCCAATGATGCATTTAGGGTTTATATAGGGTTTAGGGTTTAGGGTTCAGGGTTCAGGGTTCAGGGTTCAGGGTTCAGGGTTTGTACAGATATACACACACACACACCATCTTTATGTACATGTGCATCTTAACTATTTTGATTTTTGATATTTGCTCGTGTATGACATTTCCGCACAAAGTTCGCACGCCGATTCCCAGACATGTAGTATTACACCCAAGTGGATAGAAACCGGACTAGGCAGTCAGCAGGCGATGGTTGCGAATGGCAGCAGGCCCTAGCCTCTAAACCCTAAACCCAACAGCAGAAATTACAAACCCTAAACTCTATAAACCCTAAACCCAAAAGCCGAAATCCTAAACCCTAAACCCTGCACTCTATAAACCCTAAACCCTAAACCCTAAAGTGCTCGTTTGAAGCTAGTTAGGGTTGTTTTCCTCATTTCTTCTGAAGCTAGTTAGGGTTGTTTTCTCAACACTATCCGGTATTTCTAGCTATGCTGAGGCCACCCGCTGACGGCATGGGGTTGTTATTGCCGTTCTTGTTGTGGTTGCCGTTGCGGTTGTGGTTGCGTCGGCTGTTGCTGTTGCTGTTGTGGCTGCTGTTGGTTGTTGCTTTGCGTTGTTCCAAAAGACTGGACCCACACCCTCCCGAAGTCCCCGGCTCTGGGAAAGAAGTGGCGCCCCAACATCCTAAACCCCAGCATGTGCACCGCCGGCCTTAGCTTGGTAGCCCAGTGGTGCCCTTTTCCCTTTTTTTGATTCAAGGTGCCCTTGTACAGTAACCAACCCAAAGAATCGCACACTTACTCCACTGCTTGTTCAAGAACCCCCAAAAAATCAAAATGTTATCAGGGCAATATAGAGATTATCTTTTTGTTGGTTCTTAAGAACTAGTACTACTGGGCTACCAAGCCAAGAGCACTCAGAGTGTCCGAAGGGCGCCTCAGCTCCGCAAGGCTTGATGGGCATCCTCCAGCGCAACATCGAGAGGGCCTACGACCTGAGGCCGGGGGTTCTAGGATTCCGGATAAGAAGGGCGTAGGGTTTAGGGTTTAGGGTTTAGGGTTTAGGGTTTAGGGTTTAGGGTTTAGGGTTATTTAGGGTCAACAGAATGTTCGAAGAAGATTCATGGAGACCTCGGAGTTGGGTTACAAGGCCCCCCAGGGTTCGAAGGCCGCCAGACAGGAGTCTAGAAACATCTTGCTACGTTGTATAAGCTGCATTTCTATGCCTCATTTGCCCCAATTCCTAAACCCTAAACCCTAAACCCTAAATCCCCAACCCTAAACCCTAAACCCCCAAAACCTCGAACCTTCAACCCTCGACCCCTACGGTGTAGGTTTCAGGCACTCAGACGAGGTGTCGGGGATGACCTTCATGTTGGCAGCTTGTCTCCGGAGCTTTTCGGTTCGGGGGGAGTGCCTAGTAGAGAGGGTCAATGAGACAACGACGTTCGAAGCACTCATCGCTTGTGATATGGCACTGAAAACCGGACAAAGAGGATTTCTCCTTTTGAGCTCTGCGTGGGAAGAGCCTCTATGGAGGGAATGTCTGGTCGCATGTGTCAAGTCCGAACATTTACAAGTCATCGTCGCGATCACCGAGTCCGAAGCAGAGGAGCACGGTGTAACAACGCTGTCGACCGGCAATGCTTTGTTCACTCTCGTCAAAGTCCGCGCGGATCAGCTCCGCCTGGGCTGCAGTGCGGCCTATTTGGGCCTGGAAGCGGAAGAAGATCGTTTGCTAACCAAGGCTCGCTCGATGATCAGTTCAGACGAGGAGCTTGTTTACGCGACGGCTTCAGAGGAGCCTCCTCGCCGAAGACGGCCCAACAAGGCAGCTGCAGCAGACGAAGCAGTCAGCGAGTCAGGCTCGGACGACCAGTCGTCAGCAGAGGGCTTTGGCGAATTGATGCAGAAGCTGAAAAAAGGATGGCTCGACGAGCCTACGTCCAAAGGCAGCGCAGGCGGCAGCTCAACCAAGGGCAGCAAGAAGCACAAGTTCAACTTGCTGAGAGAGACTGCAGCTCGCAGCAGCAGCAGCAGCAAGAAGGGCGAGGACAACCTCCCCGACTTCACCAAGCTGGTGTCTGCGCAGGGCGCCAAGGTCGATGTGAATACGCTGCTCACTTTGGAGCTGGTCAAGACTCTAAAAGGGAAGCACGACAAGAAGACAAAGAAGCGGAGTCGGGACACGTCCAGCAGCGGATCTTCGGAGACGCGTCAAAGCCGGTCCAGTTCCAGCCGTGGGAGTGTTCCGCGAGCCAGGGGTCATGCCAAAGCCGTAGCCGACTACGACAAGGCGTGGCGCAGAATGAAGAGGCGCCCGATGAAGGTGGTCAGCAAGTACGTCAAGGAGCTGGAGAGGGAAATCGGAGCCGAAGACGGCCTTCCTTACAAGCTTTGCGACTACGGCAGGCGGATCGCTTGGAACAAGCAGCGGAGCCTTCAGCGGGCCCACTATATGATCTCGTCCATCCTCGAGCTCCTCCTCAAAAAGAAGGTAGAGCAGGCTGCGTTGCTAGCCGTGTTGTGCCTGCGAAGCCTGCACCAGGCCGCTCTCGACCACGGCGACTGGACGGTAGCCTGGATGATCACCCATCTCCCCGATGTTTTCGGCAAGAAGACTTTCGGCGGCGACGCCGAAGATCTGCAGCACGTGACAGCCTACCTCAAGTCCATGCAGGAGTTGGACAAGAACGCACGAGCTGTCAGGCGTCAGGAATGGGCGCAGTCAACAGCCGAGGACGACAAGACCAAAGGAAACCCCAAAGGCGCGGGGAAGAACAAGGACAAGGACCAGTCATGAATCCCTCAGACCGAAAGGCTTCAAGCGGCAGATCTGGTGACCAGTACTGTCGCGAGATGCTCAGAGAAATTCGAGAGGGCCATGGGGCCTTCAGCCGTTTTTTGAAAATCGTGAGAGCTCTTTCTTCGAAGAGCTCGGGGCCTAGGACATCCCCGAACGGGGAGTGCAAGCTTTTTCCGTCTTTGCTTCCGAGTCTGGAGCATCCCAGAGTCTCGGGGAGCGCAAGACTGCGCCAGCGAGGACGAGGCCGAACGCTAGCTTGGGAATGGGTTGAAGTGTTGTGGGCGTTGTTTACCTTCTACGAAGGTGGGGCTCCAGCACAGACGGAGGCTCTTGAAGCTCTTGCCAAGCACGCAGCGCGCGCTCCCTGGACTCAACTCCATGCGGAATACGCCGGCTCACTGCATCAGCAAATTCAATCCTTTTGCCGCCTTAAGGATGACTCTCCCCTAAGTCGCGGCAATCAGAAATTAAGCGAATTTATTGAGTGTTTAAAGCTGTCCCACTATAATCCTCAAATCCCCAATCCCTCATCAAGCGTAAGTCAGGCAAAATATGTCTGCCCAGAGCGCATGTCCTTGCCAGAGCAAGCAGGCGTAATAGATCCCCTCGATTTTCTGAAAGGTCAGCAGCGCGAAATCTTTGAGAACTCTGCTGCAGTCATCCCTGAGGATCATGAAACGAGGGCGGCGTCCAAGGCCTGCTTTAAGGTAAGGGAAGCAGACCAGCCTGCAGTGTATCGCAAGTTGCTACAGTCAGGCGTTGCCACACTGATTCCTGCTGAGTGGGGACTCCGAGATTGCCGCGGAGACCTCATCACTGGGGGGCTGTTCGCCGTACCGCACAAGCCACATAGTGATCGCATCATAAACGACAGACGGCCCCTAAATGAACTTGAAAGACGTCTGGTTTGGGCAAAATTACCTCATGGTAGCATGCTAACGCAACTGATCGTACCAAAGGGTCAAGGGCTGAGGGGCAGTGGGGATGATTTACAAAATTATTTCTACTTGCTCCGCCACCGGCCAGATTGGCTCCCCCGCAATGTTGTTGGTCAGCCTTTTGACGGAGGTGATTTTGTAGAGTTCGGGGGGGAGGCTGGGAAAAGGTACCTGTTAGCGTTTACGGTTGTCGCTATGGGTGACAGAAACGCTGTGGACATTGCACAGCAAACCCACCTTGAAATTCTACAGGACTGCGGTGCTATGCAGCCATGCGAAGTTTTGTCTTACAAAGCACCACTCCCAGCCTCAAGCACTTGGGAAGGGTTGTATATAGACGTTCATATCGTCATCCAGCAATTCCCCAGCCGTAAGCTTCGTAAGCGCATTGGCCACAGCGGGCAGTGCAAACTTAGGGATGTTGACATCATTGAGCGCAGTAGAGCCCAGTACGCAAAGCTTCGTATTCCTACTTCATCGTCAAAGGCCTTCACCCGTGAGAGTAAGTTCGTGGCTTGGGGAACCGAGGTGGATAGCGCCAGTGGACGCGTAGGGTGCCCTGCTGTGAAGCTCTTGCAGATTGGCTTTCTCATCCTTGAAGTTTGTAGCCTGCCCGTAGTCGGCAAGCGCTGTTTACAGCAACTTCTCGGCCTCATCGTGCATCCCCTTATGCACAACCGATGTTTGATGAGCGTCCTTCAGGACACCTACAACCACGTATCAAGCATGCCAAAAGCTCGGGCTTCACGCCTCCCTAGCGCAGCTCGAGAAGAGCTGCTTGTAGTGGGCCTTTGCCTGCCGTTCGCTTGCGCAAATGTTCGGCGCCCAGTGTCTGCCAGGATTTCAGCTACCGATGCGAGCCTAGAGGCAGGAGGGCGAGCTGCCACCCTAACATCGCCTCCCGTAGCCCAAACCCTGTACAGGTACGCTGAACATAGGGGTGAACACGTAAGGCTCGATTGGGCTCATAGTTGCTTATTCCCCGGAAGTACAATGTCTCAGGCTCCCGAAGAAGTTGAAACACTCATGGCCGACCACGCGTGGAGCACCACGGAGTGTTGTTCTTTTGGCCACAAGCAGCATATTAATGTCCAGGAGCTGAAGATGATAAAGCGCGAGCTGGTCGCCGCTGTGCACCAAACAACCGCCCCTCTAAGACTTGTAAACCTTGCAGATAGTCGGGTCGCCGTCGGAGCGTGGTCAAAGGGGCGATCTTCGTCGAAACAGCTCAACCGCATCTTGCGCAGCTGCATAGGATGGTCCGTTTGTGGAAGAAAAACGTTACACAATGTCTGGGTCCAGTCAAGCGCCAACCCCAGTGACTATCCTTCGCGCTTCAGGCCCATCCCTAGCCCTAGTGCGCCTAGGCCCGTCACTAGACAGGTGTTTGGTAAGCAGGCCTCCTACGTGCAGCAGCGCAAGAGGAACAGCCGGATATGGGCCCTCGCTTTGAGTGCAGATGCCGTTTTCGGGGAGGAGCTTTCGTTCATGCCGAGGCACCCAGCTGAGCCGCTGTGGACATTCCGTGAGGTGTTTGCCGGCAGTGCGAACTTGACAAAGCATTTCAAGAGCATGACAGACTTCGCAATGGCTCCTCCCGTTGAGCGTATGCAGCGCGGCAAGCCCAGTCTTCGGCATGATCTGTTAGACAATGACACATATGCCCAGCTCCTCCGCGCTGCTTCACTCCCTCGACAGTTTTGGCATTTTGCAGTGCCGAGTGCGTCATTTTCCCAGTTGCAGCGGCTAAACTCGAGCACTAGGGTGCCCTCTAGGCCAGAAGGTTCGGGCGCCCTTCGGAGCGAAGTGAGAGCCAACGAGCTCGGCCGCAGAACAGTCGAGCTTTGCAAAGCTCTGCATGCAGCAGGTTCCTTTTTTACAATCGAAAACCCCAGCAGCTCGCTCTTGTGGCGTCTTGCTTGCTTCAAAGAGCTGCTGTGTTTGCAGGGCCTGCAGATGGTACAAGTAGACCTCTGCAAGTATGGGTTGACAATGCCGGACAGCAACGGCGCACGCAAACTCGTTCAGAAGGCCACTGTTTTTTGTGGGACCGTTCCAGGGCTAGAGGCACTTGAAGCACGTTGTAGTCGGGACCATGAGCACGTCCAGGTCTTAGGAGGGGCTCGAACTCCACAAGGATGGAAATCACGCTCCAAGCTTGGCAGTGCCTATCCCAACCAGCTGTGTCGTGCCTATTGCCGGATGTGCCGCAGACTGTTCATGTGACCAGATTAGGTTTATCTTGGGACTTCATGTGCAGCACTTTGTTTTATTTGTTTAAGTTAGGCTGGTGGTTGCATCTCATTACACCTTAATGACGCTTCCGGGCCAGAGCCATGGTTTGCAATTTCGGCTGGGGAAATACAGTGCAGCCTATCGTAAGCGGCTCATCCAAGCTGGGCGCTCCCTGTGCCGTTACGTGGGCAGCAGCGCAGCAAGGTGGCTCATTGAAGCTGCCAGCGCGTCCGAAGTTGACTCGGTGCTGGCGCAGTTCGTGGAGCACATGCGTTCGCAGCGCTCGAAGGGGAGTTTAAAAACAGCAAAGCACGCAGCGTTGCTCATGCAGATCATAAGGCCCAGGTTGCATAGGCGGCTTAACGAAACTTGGTTCGTGCTCCGAGCCTGGGAAGAGCAGACGCCAAGTCGACTACGCATGCCCTTGCCTGTACCTGTGTTTCTTGCCATGGTCATCTATTCTCGAGTAAAGGCCTTGCAAAGCAGTTGCAGTACGCAACGTTCACTTTGGTTTGCTTTCGCTACCATTCTCGAGTTGGCTTTCTACGGTCTGCTGCGGCCTGGCGAAGCTTTGGGGATTGAGTGCCGAGATGTTAGTTTGCCCAACAGCTTGTCCCTAGGACAGCCGCACTTGACCCTGACCCTAAGAGACCCTAAGAATAGGCGACAGCTGGGGCGGTTACAGCACGCTGTGGTGAAACACCCTCACGCTTGCAATTGGGCTAGCTGGGTCATTGGCAGTTCGTCGCAAACTTGCAAGTTGTGGCCTAGCTCTCAGTATCACTTCAGGCGTCGGTTCAAGGAGGTCTGCCGAGCACTTAGGGTTCACAACTGGCATTTGACACCTGCCTCCCTGCGAGCTGGAGGAGCCACTTTCCTTTTCCAGCAAGGTTGCAGTGTCGACAGGCTCCGTTTCCAGGGTCGCTGGACGAGTCTCGCATCCCTGGAGCATTACGTGCAAGTTGGTGTGGCGCAGCAAACCTTGCTGCAGGTGCAACCTGCTTGTGCCGCCAAGATACGCAGATACTTGCAGCTAGGCTCTTTCCTTTTGGAGCTGGGGGCCAAATACCGGGCCGAAGTACCATCCGAGCAGCTTGTGTCTACGCCGGCGCTCTGCTTCACGCAGGCCGACAATCCGGTGTCTTGGGCTCATGGCTTCGCAGCCATGGGCACGCAAATTTAGGCAAGCGGTGGTCAAAGCTGGGGCCTTCAAAGGGGCTCGCTTCCTCGACTTGTCAGGCGAGCAGTTGTCCAAAGCTGCCAAGTCGTATCCCAGCGACATGCGCTTGCATCAGTTTGCGAAAGAATCGCTAGTTCAGCAGCGTGCGGAGCAGGAGCAGGCGCAGCGCAGTGCTGTGCCACCTGAGCCAGTCCATCCTCAGCAGTCAGCGTCGCCCACGGCTGCAGACACTACTTGGTCGAAGCGCTGCCGGGCGCATCTCTATGGCGCTATCTCTAAGCTGTTGGTGGGACGCAAGCTCCGATGGTGGCAGTGGGCGCTTTTTGCTGCATTCTTAGTTTTGGTGGTTACACGCCCGCGGTTTGGAACTCTCTGTGCAAAGGTTGCAGCGCTCTCCCTTCGTTTGATAGTGCGCAAAAGCATGAATTTCTTGCTGATGGTCGTCGATGCCGTGCTCGAGGAGCTTATTGCGCAGATTGACTCAGCTACGTTGCCGGCCGTCACTGTGGTCAGGGAGGCCGCCGAGGCAGTGCACCCTTCGGGCCTCAGTCAGGTCGTCATCTCCGGGATCTCAGCTTTTGCGGGAGTCTTGTGCGCGCAGATGGGTTTCGCACGCCGTCTCATGGCCGGGTGACGTCTGCGCGCCGCCTCTCTGCCCCTCCACCACCCATGATGCTGTGTTGGGGGTGTTGGAAGTGTGTGTGCCAGAGCTCGCCAGCCCGGCTGGTCTCCTCAGCCAGTTCAGTCAATCATTCTTCCCTTCGCATTCTTGCAACTTCCAGCCTGCCAATCGTTGCATTCTTTGCAGCATGTCGTATGCCAATCGTGGCACAGACTTGCACTTTCACAGTTCTTGCAATCAGTCGGCGCTTCGCGCCTCCTTTGCTTTGACACAAACTTCAGGAGTGCCCCGAGAGAAAACAGGCGTTGAGCGAGGTTTGCAAGAGACAGTGCAGAACAACATGACCTTCATGTTGGCAGCTTGTCTCCGGAGCTTTTCGGTTCCGCCACCACCCCACCACCGCAGGATGCCAGAGCTCGCCAGCCCGGCTGGTCTCCTCAGCCAGTTCAGTCAATCATTCTTCCCTTCGTATTCTTGCAACTTCCAGCCTGCCAATCGTTGCATTCTTTGCAGCATGTCGTATGCCAATCGTGGCACAGACTTGCACTTTCACAGTTCTTGCAATCAGTCGGCGCTTCGCGCCTCCTTTGCTTTGACACAAACTTCAGGAGTGCCCCGAGAGAAAACAGGCGTTGAGCGAGGTTTGCAAGAGACAGTGCAGAACAACATGAAACTTTTTCTCGGCGAATCCCCTCTGGCTTGGAACAAGGTCAAGGGTGTCACAGTAGGGTTTAGGGGGGGTTTTAGGGTTTTTTGGTTACAGTAGGGAACCCTAAACCCTAAACCCTAAACCCTAAACCCTAAACCCTAAACCCCAAACCGGCGTCATTTCCTTCAGGGCTTTAGGGTTTGTAAGGGCTCCCGAAATCGGAGGCCTTTGACCCCAAGTGGCTGTTGGGCAGGCCGGCGTGCTAAGTTCCTACGAACTTTGTGGTTGGGATAGGGTTTAGCGTTTAGGGTTTAGGGTTTAGGGTTTTGGGTTCAAGGTTTAAGGTGGGTTTGGTAGGTTTGTCGGGTGGCAGGTATAGGGTTTTCTTGTTTCTTTGTGCTGGCGACGCCCAAGACCTGTCTAGACCAAACCCCCCTCGTCTGGATAAAACCAGACAAAACAACACAAAAGCGGATGGGCATTTCCCAAAATAGGGGTACCCCGTTTACATCCCGAATAGAATAGGATCCCCTTAAAGGGACCCCCAAAAAGGTACCTCCCCCTATTTTGGAAAAAACAAACCCCCCTATTTTGGAACAAAAACACCCACAGCGGGTGGTCGAAAATAAGGGACCTCTAATGTAGACCCAAAATAGTCGAATTCACTTATACAAGGACCGCCAAGACGGTGCCGGAATGTCGGGCAGCCCCCTCCCCCCCCCCCCCACAATTTACTTCAACGCCAGAGGTCACAGTCAACCCTACACTGTACCCTGAAGCTCCAGGCACCCGCAAGATTAAAAGGCTTGAGATGACCTCGGACTGTTTGTGCAGGCTTTAGGGCGTTTAAGCCATTGAGGGTATTTCGGGTGTTAGGGCTGGGTATTTAGGCGCACTGTTATGGAGTTTGCTTTCGGGTATTTCGGGCATTTATAGGAACCCTACACCCTAAACCCTAAACCCTAAACCCTAAACCCTAAGCCCTAAACCCTAAACCCTAAACCCTATTTAGGATTCAGCATCCCCGCCTCCTCTGCCAGCCCCTGGTTCATCTTCTACGACCAGGCGCTGGCTCCCTCCTGGCACCTCGGCGGCTAGGGTTTAGGGTTTAGGGTTTAGGGTTTAGGGTTTAGGGTTTAGGGTTTAGGGTTTAGGGTTTAGGGTTTCGGGTTTCGGGTTTGGGGTTTAGGGTTTCGGGTTTGGGGTTTCAGGGTTTGGGGTTTGGGGTCTAGGGTTTGGGGTTTGGGGTTTAGGGTTTGGGGTTTCGGGTTTCGGGTTTCGGGTTTGGGGTTTGTTTGGGGTTTGGGGTTTGGGGTTTGGGGTTTGGGGTTGGGGTTTGGGGTTTGGGTTTGGGGTTTGGGGTTGGGGTTAGGGTTTAGGGTTTGGGGTTTAGGGTTTGGGGTTTAGGGTTTGGGGTTTAGGGGTTAGGGTTTAGGGTTTAGGGGTTTGGGGTTTGGGGTTTGGGGTTGAGGGTTTGGGGTTTGGGGTTTGGGGTCTAGGGTTTGGGGTTTCGGGTTTGGGGAAGTTTCGGGTTTGGGGTATGGCTTCGGCAGGTAGAATTTCTGGAAAAGCATGAGCTGCAAATAGGGCACCGGGGGGTGCTGAGGGTTTATGAGGTAAACTAGGGTGTAGTTTGGGTAGTCCGCTTATTTGGGGGTCAGTTAGGGGAAGGAACGTTCAGGGTTTGGGGTTTAGGGTTTAGGGTTTCGGGGGTTGGGGGAACAGGGTTTCAGGTTTAGATTGTTGGATGTGTGGTCTTCCCTGGGCGTCCCTGACTTTCACCGCCTTTACATCGTCATGGAGGTTTAGAACGCCCAATTCGCCGTCTACTCTCTACAGCCTTATAAACTTTTAAACCCCAAAACCTAACCCCCTAAAACCCAAAACCCCCAAAGCCCCTAAACCCCTAAAACACCAAACCCTAATTCAACATCTTGAAGCTCTTATGAGAGCCCCCTATATAATCCTGAAGCCCTGAAGCACTTGTACCCGGAAACCCTGAGGCACCTATTGAGAGAACCAGCACCTCCCCAACTCGGGTTCACTGGGCAGGGCTTGTGTTCTTGACCCTCTCTTGGGGATTGAGGGGTTTAGGGTTTAGCGCTTAGGGTTTAGGGTCACAGGGCCTTCGGACCCGGCCTTATGTTGCGTTTACGCTTCCACGAAAGCCCGAACTTCCATCTTTCTGGGCATGTTTAAGGAGACGGCGCCTCTAAGAGGCCGTGCGAGTAACCACAATTTCTGGGGCTCGGGGTGGGGGGGGGGGGGGGTGGGGGGGGGGGGGGGGGGGGGGGGGGGGGGTGTAATCACGTGACTTGGGACTTCACACCTGCAACTCCAAAGCCTGAACCCCTAATCCCCAAAGGCCTAAACCCTTGCTGTTTAATTCGGGGTTTATAAGCAAAACGCGCCCGCGCCTAGGCGAGAGCGCAATTTCAAGCAAAAACAGTGTCCGAAACTTCAAAACGACACCCCTAGAAAAAAAACACAACAAACAATCCTTAAACCCAAAAGAATAGTCCAAGCAGTGCAAACCCAAATCCTGAAACCTGAACCCTAAACTTTGAACCTTGAAGCCTGAAGAAGAATCAACTTGAGGCCACTTTCAGGATCCAGTGCACAAGTCTGTTGGGTTACAACCAAAAGCAATTCCAGAAAATCATGCCTGCGCTGTGGCGAGAGCACTATTTCGAACCTGAACTGCCGGAGCCATAACGCAGAAAAAACTTCCCGAACCGAAAATCGCCATTTGAAAGTTCAACATGGGGAATGAGCAAAACGTGCCCGCGCCTAGGCGAGAGCGCAAATTCGAGCAAAAAGCACGTCCAAAACTTCAAAAAAAAGGACCCCCTGGAAAAAAGCAACAAAAAAACGATCAGGCTTCGAGCGAAAATGCATTTTTCCGAAAAAATGACCTAACCCTTCAGTGTTTTCGAGCCCTGCAAATGCTGCGGTGATCACGAAAATGTGTGTTTCGCTTGGGTTTTTAGCCCCCGACGCGAAAAATGTAAACAAAAAATGTGTTCACTCACACGGCCTCTTACGGGCGCCGCCACCATGTTTAAGCCTCACAAAGTGTTGGCCTGCATCATGCGAGAGCATCATGTCATCGTGAAGCAGCCATCCAGAAATTCGCAGAACTGGACCTACCAAGGTACAACTTCACCACGTATCACATGGTGCGCCAGGGGGCCCACCCACTGGGTGGATCTGCGGCACGGGGGCTGATTGGGAATGGACCTTACTTATAGAGCAGAGCCGCTGCAGGCTGTGAGTTGTGATGTTGCCGCCCGCAAGTCATTCGGGTATCGGTGTGGGGCAATTGTGAGCTGCACCTTAGAATATCTATATCTGGGACCCAGAGTAGGCCCCTGTTCCCGTTTTTAGGGTTTAGGCTCCCCTACAATCTTGGGTCTCGCTTAGATACACGTATGGCTTTCCATGACGGCTCTGCGATTAGCCGGTTCGGAGCGGTGCATGTAGGTACTTCGGAGACTTGGACTCTCAGTACCCTGTTGCCTCTGTTTGGCTTTCAGCGTGTGGTTCCCTTATGCCATATGCACCCCATTCAGCGGAAAAGGGTGCCCTTTTGTCCTAGGTTGCTGCGGAAGGAAACTCCAACTACTGAGTCCATGAGCTGCAGTTCGGAGGTACGGGCAGATCCGAACAACCTCGTGAACCCTCCGATCGAGGAACAAGAAGGCGCGTCTCAAAACGTTCTGGCCCAGCATCCTCTCCCACCCGTAGCGCAAAACAGAAGTGAGATGTGGCACTGAGTGCACACCAGCAATCCAGCTTCGTGAGTTTTCATGCAGGCAAGAGCCTTTCTAGAACGTAGCAGTCGTTCACACCACATCCACCAGTCAAGCACATAGGCCATGACGTACAGAGAGGGTTTCTCAACAGAAGGGGTACCCCGTTTATATCCCAAATAGAATTGAACAGAATCCCCTCAAAGGGACCCTTAAAAGGGTTCCCCCCTGTTCCTGGGCTTCATTTTCCGCAGATGGTGTGGGATGTTCCCCTTATACGAACAGTCCCTAATAGGGATGATAATTGGGGCTACGTAGTATAACGGGGAACATCCCAACCCTAAACCCCAAACCCTAAACCCCAAACCCTAAACCCTAAACCCTAAACCCTAAACCCTTGTAGGTCCAAGGCGCCAGGTCCTCGTCCTGCGCCAGGCATCCCCAAGAAGGCCGACGATCAGGTTCTTCGTGGCTTACCAGGCGCCTGACCAGGGTGTGGGGTTTAGGGCTTAGGGCTTAGGGCTGAGGGTTCAGTGTTTAGGGTTTAGGGTTTAGGGTTCAGGGTTTAGGGTTTGGGGTTTGGGGTTTGGGGTTTAGGGTTTAAACCAGGG